TCTTCTCCAGGTACTTTCTGGACCCTACATGTGGTCAATTTCCCTGACAGATGCTCCCTTAGTATCTTGTCCTTCCCTTTATGGCCTGGATTTCAGCTTGTGAGTATACTTTTTGAAAAAACTAAGATGGGCCGGGTGCCGTGGCTCACATGTGTAATCCCAGCACTTTGGGAGGCCAAGGTGGGTGGATCACCCCAGCTCAGGCATTCAAGACCGGCCCGACCAACATAGTGAAACCTCATCTCTACTAAAAATACCAAAATTAGCTGGGCGTGATGGCGTGTGTCTGTAATCCCAGCTACTCAGGAGGCTGAAGCAGGAGAATCACTTGAACTTGGGAGACAGAGGTTACAGTGAGCCGAGATTGTACCACTGTACTCCAGCCTGGGTGACAGAGTGAGATTCCATCTCAAAAAAAAAAAAAAGTTTATGTTCACACATGGACTTGTACACTTAATGCATAGCAGGATTATTCAACATTCAACAGTAGCCAAAAGGTGGAAACAACCCAAATGCCCATCCACTGGAATATTATTCAGTCATAAAAAAGGAATGAAGCATTGATTCCTGATGCAACATTAATGAACCTTGAAATCATTATGCAGACTCCCTGAAGGCAGGAATAACACCTGTCAGCTCCTGTCTCTTAGCCCAGGGCAGGCATTTACTAGACAATGGAGGGCTTTCTGTGGGATGAATGAAAGGGCAGGGCCAGGCCACACTCAGCGTCCTGCCCCACTGCTGTATGGGCTGAATGCAGGAGCCGGGGAGGGGGATCCGCCTGCAAGTCTGAATCCCCCCAGCTCTGGCCCTCAGCAAAATATGCCTTCCACCCTGCAGCGTTCCCGACTTCCATCTGCATAACATGTGGCCCTGGGTCTGTCAAGTCCCACCCAACTCTGGGACTTGATATCCGTCTGGGCATCTTATAGGTGCTCAATAAAGTCCTGGCACATTGGCCTGGTGGGAGCTGAAGGCTCCACAGCTACCAGGCCAAGGAGAAACCACCAGGTAGCAGATCATATGGCTACAGTCCTCAGCCAAGTTCCTCTCCCCTGACGTGCACCCCCCTCTGCTCAGGTTATTAGTGGTGCAGGGGAAACAAACAGCAGGTTTCCAATTACCCCGCAGCCCCTTCTCAAGTGGTGCAGGACTCAGAGACGTCCGCCTGCAAGCAGTCACCATGCCTGCAAGCACTCACCACGGGGGCGGAGGTGGGATTTAATAAGACAAGTCCTAGGTCTGCATTTCAAAGGCCCGGGTTCCCTCTCCCCATAAAAACCAGCACTGACCCCCGTGGAGGGGACACCAGGGGCCCCACTGCTGGGCCTGGCCCCCTGCAGAGGGGTCACCAGGAATTCTGTGTTTCATCAAATATTGCTGGGCCGTGGAGTTTTATTTGAAAATAATTTTAATTAGCCGGAAACTAGGAGTTTAATAAATGGAAAACAGAGAACTTTCCAAGGCCACAGCTGGGAAACACTTGGTTTTTTAAAAATTCCGCCTGGCGTCCCAGACCAGCTAAGCACCCTGACACGAGGGCCGGAGGAATCCACAAGAAAAACAAAGCTTATTTTTAGAGAAATATTTTAAACTTGGGTTCAGCGAACTCAGGAGTTTTCTGGTCTGTGTTGAGTCCTTAATATCTTTCCTTCTATTTCAGAGCTGCCTCTCGCCCCAGAGGGCACAAGAGCTGCTATCTGACAGGAGCTATTTCTGCCCAGATGAAAATAAAGGGGCCCCTCCCCCTCCCCCCAGAGTGAATTCTTTCTAAAAATGTCCCTGCAGACCGCCAGTGGCACCGAGGACTGTCCTTGGCAGGTGTGCCCAGCAATGGAGGTGAGTCTGCGGTCCCTGCAGGCCAGGGGCCCATTGGCGGCCCTCCCACCGGCCCAGGCTGGCCTGCTGTTCTGCAGGAAGCGGATGCCAGCCTGGCGGTCATTTCTGGGTTTTGAAAGCAGTTTTTAAACTTGAAGGTCGGCTTTTCCCCCCGTAGGTGTTGGTAACACCCACACCCACATGCAGACACACCCACACGCACACCGCAGCAGACACAGCCAGACCCAAACACACAGCAACACCTACAGCTGCTCACCCCCCCCAGAGGCACACAGCTACCCACACACAGCAGCAGCTACACACAGGCACACCCAAACCCACTCCCATAGATACACACACACACACACACACACACACACACCCCTATGCATATCCGCATACACACCTAAACCCCACCTCACAACAGACACACCCACACCCATACATACCCCAAAGACCCACATACCCACCCACACAGAACAGACATACCCAAGCCCACACCAGCACTCACACACATCCACACACACAGACACACCCATGTACACCAACACACACACCCCTGCATACACACCACCCCACACATCACAACACACACACACCCACACCACACACCCCAAAGACCCACATACCTACATAGCAACAGATACACCCAAACCCACACCAGCACTCAGACACATACACACACACACACACTTACACACAAACACCCACATCCAAACACAGCCATACCACAGTAAGCCACACCTCACATCCCACAGACCCTCATACCCACTCCCCCTCCGCCTGCAGAAGCACTCGGATCCACACACCAGTACTCCCCTAGGGCGACACCACACCGCAGACCCCTGAACACCTGCGCACGGAGCAACACCCACAAACCTCTGCACACCTAGGCAGAAAAGGACACAGGAACATGTACTAATACACTGCCCAGGCAGGCCCACCCCCACCACACACGTGCACGCATGAATGCGCGGGCGCACACACACACACACACACAAACACAGACTCTTTCAAGGTCTAGCAAAACCCCTAAGGAGAGGTTGGGCCCTGGAGGTGCCGAGGCTTCCTGCTGTCCCGCTCCCTCCCGCCTCCTCCCTGCCAGGCTCTGCCTGTCCAGCCGCCAGGCCCCGCCCCGCCCCAGCCCCGGCTCTTCTCCTTCCTCCTTCAGCCGCGCCGGCAGCGGCACAGAACTGGAACTGCCCTGGACGGCCACAGCTCTGCACATCCCCCGGGAGTGTGGACAAGAAAAAATAAACACAATTAGAGTTCACGACCATGGGCCCCTGATGGAAGGTAAGCCCGGCCAGCCTCTATCTAAGGGCTGTGCCGGCTCCCACGAACTTCCAAGGCCGAGGACCGTGCCGAGACCCAACTTCCGGTCTCAAGAAAACTTGGTGAGAGTCACATCCGCCCTCACTTGTCACCACAAGCAGAACTGAAGGAGAGCGGTGTCTGGGGGCGGTTCCCTTCCGAGGTTCAGTGCTCTCCAGCGGGCTTCTTCCCTGCACGTGGCCACTCTGCGGTTTTCTGAGCCCCCCATGCAGGTTTAGCACCGAGCCTACGAGCGCCAGACCAGGCTTGCGGCCCAGAGCTCCGCCGGCTTGTTTTCCCTGCGTCGGGTCCACCAGGCCTGGCTCTGTCATCCGGGGTCCTGAGCCACTGCAAGGCTCACAATCCTCCGTCTATTCCCTGGGGCTGGTGCAGAGCTTTGGCTTTCTGAATAGTTTTGTGTGTGCTTTTTTTTTCTTTGACACACTCATCAGTAGATTCAGACAGCATGAGGGGTGGAAACTGTATGTGCACACATCCTTTCTCTGAAATAATTTAGAAGGTGGCACACTAATTGGGCTGCTTAAAAAATACCTTAGCCTTCAGACATCCTGTGGAAACGCCATGAAGACATTCTAAACACCATCACATTCAGGGCTCATTTTCACAATGACTACGGAGGAATTTTCTCCCGCAGTTTCTAAGTGTAACTCGGTCTTGGAGCCAACAGTCCGTGATGGCAATTTTAGTTTGTCATTACTTGCAATCTTTACTTCTATTTCCTTAATTTACAAGAAAACTTTCCTAAGGGTGATCAAGCAGTGGTAGAGTTTTGTTTGCTGTTAATTTCCAGGCGCTGCAGAAAGACAATTCCCTAGTACCCTCCATTGATCTGCGGCGAGAAGAAATTTCTGAGTGATTCCCCCCCAGCTTTGCACGCTCCACTGGGTCTGCAATACAAAACTTCAGATCCAAACAGTTGGGCTTTTCAAACAAACTCGTTTTTAAAAATGAATGTGGCTTACCCCCACATTCCAGCTGATCAAAAGTACTTGTTTAGAAAAATAAGTTTAGGAATGAAGTGGAAACAAGGCCTTTGAAACGCAGCTTAACCTAAAATAGCACCACATTTTAGACTTTCTCTCCCCACTGCATATTCTTTATGGTGTAGGGGCCGGGGAGCCTGCAGTCTTCGCCCCTCCTGAGCCCTCCTTGGCCTTGGGCTTCCCCTCCCCCGCTGCTGAGGCCTTCAGCCAGGGGCCGGCATCCGGGAGAACCTTGAAACTGTTTCCCATCCCCTTTGGCAGCGCACAAGCACCACAACGCTCCAGTTAACACCAGTGCAATCATCGTTAACGTGAAACAGCTGCCCGAGGCCTGGCGTATTCTCCAGACCGCCCCCTCCCCTCCAGGCTCAGCTGTGAGTCACCAGAGACCTGGTTAAGGCAGGGCCCGTGAGGGAGCGGGGATTCGAGGATTGTTGATGGAGCCCAGCTGTTGTAGATGAGAAAGCAAACTATTGCTAAATCTCTTACCTACTTTGGAAAAAGTGTCTTTAGTATGGGTATGGGGGGCGGCGGTCGAGAAATAAAACGCATGAATTATGAACCCGATTCAAGTTTCTAAAGTGATTGTTTTAAAGTTAGAAAGAACCTGAGTCACTATAGTAAGATTTTGTTCGACTGTTTTCGAAATCAGCAGGCAAATCAATTTTTTTCCTTCCTTTTTCTAGAGACCTGGGTTGAATTTGCTTTCTGGGCACTTAAGTTCTCTAAAGCACAGACATGGTCTTTTTGCATAAATAACTTGTATGTGTTCATTCCCAGAGGAAGTTGTTCGCATAAGCAAACATCAACCAGATATAAGTTTAACCTGTTTAATCTTCCCCTCCACCCTGAACAAGGACATACCAGGCTTTCCAAAATCCAGGCAAAACTCCAGTTCTCCGACCCAGAAAAAGCCTGGCCTCACTCTCCACCTCCAGCTCAGCACTCAGGCCTGGCAGGCCACCGGCTGCAGAAAAGATCCTCCTCCCCTTCCCCACCCAAGCAGTTCTGTTTCCCAGCGAAAAATCGGACCTTCAGCTGCAACCACAGCCACGTGATCCACTCGGTGACTCTCAGGCAGGCCACACCCCTTCAGGCCTCTGGGCCAGGCCCTGCCACCAGCCAGCCAACTCTGGGATGCATCTTATTACCAAAGCGAACAGCTAACTAATGCCCTTGACAGTCCCAATAATTACTTTCTTTCTGTTAGAACTTACTTATAAAATATATACAGGCATGAGAGGACGCAGGCTCTTCTGAACTCTGGCTCTGCCAGCTCTCCAACCCCCATCATCCCAAGACCTGGGAGTGAATGCCTGCTGTGGTTAGCTGGGGGGAGCTAGAAAGCCAGACATTCCTGTTTAAAAAGAAAAGCTCTTACACGTTAATACCTTTTTTCCCAAAAGTTTTATTGGGGGAAAACTACAAAACATTTACAGTACAATGTTTACAGTCACAATTTGTAGTGAACTGATTCCCCAAAATATATTACAACTCAAGTTGACTTATCTTGTACATTCAAAAACCTACTTCTGTCAAAGTAGTCCAGAGAGTACATATAGTGCTCCAACTGTACCTACGTACAAACTAAAGCTACCGCTCATTCATCTGCTGTCCAGGAAAGCTTAGGAAACATTCCTGCCTTTCTACATGAAAAAAAAAAAAATAGTACAAGTTTTGGAATTTTCTGTAATTAAACAAGGCATATTCATGTACTACATACTTCAGCACTAAGAGGCGGTCGCTTCACTTTATATCTATATAAAAAAAGTGGTAAAAATCTATTCCTTTTGTGCAGTTGAACCCATCCTACATTCAGATTCTCTCAAAGCACTAATAAAATACTTATTTGGTTGAGGAAGATTTAAGGCAAGTTCGGGCCCTTCCAAGGCACTGTGAGACTCCCCCCCGACTCCCCATTATTGCTACATGTCTTTATTCTCGAGTATGTCACAGTAGAACTGGTGGAATAAGCAAACACTTTTTTTGCTAGTTTATAAAGTTGGAATTAGAAAAGTGTGCCACATCTCAGCCTGATTGCAAAGTATGCGGTCACTTTTTCCTTTAAAGTTGGATGGGCTACAACCTTTATACATTCTAAGAAAACTCATAGGATGTTCCTCAAACTACTTCCACAGCATCAAGATAGATTTCTGTCAAGAAATCATGCAATCTTTCAAAATTTACGTAAACAAGAAAAGAAATTAATGAAATAAATATTACATACAATCTCTTAAATTAAGAATTTTGTACTCATTTACAATAAAATAACCAAGTGAAGTTACAAAAGGCATATATTACTGTGAAAAGAACATACACTCCACATTTTGCCGATTAATAATGGCAATCATAATTTAACATAATAAAAGAATATATATCTATTGCTTTTCATCATACTTGATAAATACAGTATGAACAAAATTTTCAATGTATACTTTTCACAAGATAATAAATAAGTTAAATAGTTTTTTTCATATTGAGTTGTGGTGCAGTGGTGCTAATCAACTCAAAACAGCTAAAAATTCAGCAGTTATTCTCCAACAATTACAAAGTAAGCTCTGCCCAAGGCTTCCAGAGGGAGCAGACAAAATGGTTCTAAACTAAATATCCACTAAGTGGTGGCAATGAAACCAGTAACCAGTATGGACCTTTGGAATGCAAGGGTTTTGTTTTTTTTTTTTTAAAAAACCCCAGACATACATAACTCTGTTAAAAAACAAACAAAAAAAAAACACCACATATGGGCTGAGGAATAACTATCAAGGCATATTCCTGGCAGAATATTGGATTCTAAAAAGCTTATAGATTTAGCAAGGTGGTGGCTGGCTAGCTTGTTTACACCAGTCTGAGACAAACAATTAGGAACTTCTTCCAAGAGGAGAGTTCCCACATCTGGACTTAACTAATGCTGTTCAAGTGAAGAGATGGAATGGTGGTTGATGGCTGCTGGTGCTGGGTTGATTTTTCCTGAAGTCCCAAACTCACTGGAGTCCTAAAAAAAGTTTTAAGTGTTTTTTTTTTTTTTTTTTTTTTTTTTTTTTTTTTTTTTTTATTTTTTTTTTTTTTTTTTTTATTTTTTCTATTTATTTTTTTTTTTTTTTTTTTTTTTTTGTTCTACTCGTATCACAACTGCCCTGTTGTGAATATTTTGTTCAATACAAAAAGTTTGTCAACGTTTTTGCTCAAAAGAATGAAACTTCGTAATAAAAATAAAAAACAAAACAAGAGGAAACCGAAAAAGGAGGAGTGGGGGCCCCTCCCAGCACAGAGTTCGAGTCCAAGTGCTGGTCGGGCTTGCAGTCTGCCTGGGGCCCATGTCACCCCCCACGCTCCCGTGCCCCCAGCAGGGGCGAGATGGCGAGGGGTGTCCTCCAACATCTCTGAACCGCCTTCCCTTCCTCCTCACTGGCGCCCTCTTGCCTCAGTCGTCGGAGATGGAGAGGCGGCTGAAGATAGGCAGGCGGCGCCCGGGGTCGAGGCTGGGGGACTCGGAGCCGCTGAGGCTGCCGGAGCTCAGGGAGCCGCTCAGGTAGCTGTCGCGGTCCGACAGCGAGTCCGGGGGGCTGGGGGGCGCGTCGAACACGGGCGAATCGGACAGGCGGCGCGGCAGCTGGAAGCTGAAGGGCGGCGAGGGAGGCGCGGCGGCCCCGGCGGGGAGGGGCGCGCTGGGCGGCGCCGGGGGTTGCGCGGGGGGCGCCAGGCCCTGCTGCTGCTGCTGCTGACTGCGGTAGTAGGCGGCGGCGGCCACGGCGGCGAAGTTGTGGGTCTGGATGGCGAGCGGCGTGATGAGGCTGCTGAGCTCGGGGCCGAAGGCGAAGGCGTTGTTGGCGCAGGAGGTGGACGAACAGGCTGCGCAAGGGGGCCCCGGTGCCAGCAGGTCCTCGGCGCCCCCGGTGCCGTAGAGCAGAGCGGCCGCAGCTGCAGCCGCCGCGGAGGCGCAGCAGGTCGGGGCGCCCGAGGGCGTGGAGGCCGCGGAGGCCGAGGAACAGGAGGAGGCGGAGGAGGAGCAGGACGAGGCCGAGGAGCAAGAGGGCGGCGGCGGCGTGCGCGACGTGGGGCTGTCCAGCAGCAACGGCGACTCGAGGCCGCCCGGGGGCTGGTGGTGGCCCGACGGGAAGCCCGAGAAGCTGAGGCTGTGGTGCAGCTTAGGCCGCGGCTCCCGCGGGAAGCCCAGGTGCAGCGCGTCCCGCGTGCCAAAGGCGCGCAGGTCCCCGGAGGCGCCCCCCGACGGCGCGGGCCGCCGCTCATCTGCGTTGTGGATGAAGTGGCAGCGCGGCCCGTAGGGGCAGAAGCCGATGGTGTGGAAGGTGCGGCACAGCTCGGTCTTGTACTTCGGGTGGCGAGTCAGACTGCGCAGCTCGTGGAAGCCGTGCGCGAACTGGCACTTCTCGCCGTACTTGCAAGTGCCGCTCTCCTCGAAGGGCCGGCACAGCTCGGTCTTGTAGCGCGTGGAGTTGATCTGGGAGCCGCCGCCCCCCTTCTGCTGCTGCTGCAGGTGCAGGAGGTGCTGGCTGCGGTCGCCGTTCTCGCTGAAGGAGCGGTCCCGGAATTTGTTCTCCTTGTTGAGCAGGGCTGTGCCGCCGCCCCCCGACGGCTCCTTAAGGGCGCCGTAGGAGGCCGGGCCCCCGGCGGCCGCGCTGCCGCAGCTGCTGCCGTTAGCGGCGCCCGGGAACTTGGGCGAGCAGCTGCCGGGGCTGGGCGCAGGGTGGGCGAGTGCATGCAGGTTGCTGGCCGAGTGCCGTCGGAGGAAGCCCGGCGCGAAGCCCGAGCTTGGGGCGGCGGCCACGGGCGTCCCCACCGCTTTCTTGTCCAGCATGTTGTTCAGGTTGAGGTTGGCCAGGGATTTCTCCGTCTGCCAAAGGGAGGGGAGCGGGGAAGGGATGAAAAACGGAAGGGGAAGACAGACTCCGGGCGAGCTGCAGAGGAACTCCCAGCCCGATTCTTTCCTCTTTTTTGCCCCCCTCTTGGCAGATCTCGACTAGGCCTCCACCCCCCCCCCCCATACACGCGCAAAAGCAGCAAGATCCTGCTGGAAGGAGCGGGAGAGGGGAGGACGCCCACCGCGGGCCGCGCTGGGTTTCGACACGTGATCCTTCGCCCCAGGCGGCCGAGGTGGGCGGCGCGAAGCCCGTCCGGGAAGCTCCGGGCAGCGTGGCCGCAGTCCGCAGTGGAGAAACTCAAAGCGACAGCGGCGCCCTCCCTACCGCTCTCCCCGCCTCCAGGGCGCTAGCACACTCTTTTGCAAACCCTGGGACTTTCCCGACCCAAAAGGCAGGGCGGGGGGGGGGTCCCCAGGACCGGGGGACAGAGGCAAAGTCCGAGAACTGAACTGCTGCTGCCGGCCCGGCCCGCTCCCCTTCGTACCTTGCACAAGAAGTCGACATCGTAGAAGGCGGACAGAAGTGTGGTCGACATGTTTCTGGATCCCGCAGTGGCCGGAGCGGCAGGCAGGGCGGTCGGGAGGAGCCCTCGGGGCGGCGTGGCCGGGCTAGAGCCACGACGAATAACGGGCGAGGGGCGGGGAGAGGCCGAAAGTTTGCCGGGGGGCGAGAGGAGAGGGCGAGGGCAGCGGCGCGGGCCGGCGGGAGGGTCCGGCGGAGTGCGGCTGGGGGGAAGGAGAGAAGCTAGGAGCGCTCCTCCGCGCCCCGGGGTGCCCGGCCCGCCCCCCCCGCGGAGCCGACGGCAGCTCGCGGACTGCTGGAACTCGGCGGTCCGCAAGCGCGCGTCCTATATAGAGCCCGGGGAACTGCGGCTGCCGCTGGGCGGGCGCGCCGGGGGAGGGGACAGAACGCGGCCCCCGCCGGGGTCTCCAGGCAACGCCGCCCGCCGGCTGGCGGACGTCAGGCGCCTCCCGGCCTCCCATTGGCCGCCGCCAATTTTTTTCCTCCGAGGGAGGGGGCGGGAGGCCTCGGGGCGGAGCCGGCGGCCGGAGCGGCGTGGAGCGCTTGGCCCCAGTGGGTGCCGCCGAGTGGCGGCGGGAAGGCACGGCTCTCTTCTTCGGGGGCTGCGCAGTCGGAGATCCCCGGTGCGTTTAGCGTGGCCGGGATTCTGCACCCCCAGACGTGTCTTTCCCTGCCCTGTTCTCCGAGGCGGACCTGTGGAGCTTTTAGCTCCCACCTTCGGTTTTGTGCTGGGCGCGGGAATTGCAAAATGCCAGAATATCGCAACCGTCCGCGCGGCCCGGCGTGTTTGCAAAGGGTGCTTCCGGCCAGGAGGCGAGGGCTCGGCGCCTGCGTCCCATCGGTGGCTGCTCCAGCCCGACTGCACGTGGAGTCGCGGTGGGGGTGGGGGCAGCCACGCGGGCGGCCGCAGCGGCAGTCTTGCCCGAGGAGCCCGGGCTCGTTTCTCCGCCCCCTCCCCGCCCAGGCTCAGTAAACAGGGCTTGAGTGCCGGGGCCTGCCGGGCAGGGCTGAGTGTCTGAGGACAAGGCGCTGGCTTTGCTAATCACATCACAAGACCTTGAGCCAGGGCCAAAGGCGCGGAGTGGCGCGGGGCGTCCCGGGCGGGGGAGCTGACTCCGAGGACAGGAGGAAGGGCCGGGAGAGCGCGCAGGCATGAGGCGACTTAGCGCCACCCTTTCCGTCTGCTGGTTGGCTCGGCCTTCCCCGGCCCTCCAGGGCTGGGGGTGCAGCTGCCCGCCGAAGCTCTCCGCCCGGCATAGCCTGGGCCTGTTGCGCCCTCCCAGCCTCTTCCCTCCCCGGCCGTGGGGGCGCCGCGCCCAGCCTTCGCTGGATGACGGCTGCAGGGTCCGGTGGGGCTGCACAGACGCAGATGGTGGGCGCGCCCCCCTCTGTTTTCCCTCTCTCGCCAGCCCCACACCCCAACAGCTTGCGCTGGAAAATGCGCTTTGCCAGCGGGCGCCCCGCCCTCGTCCGGGTATAGAGCAGACACCCCCATCTAGTGCCCGGTGAGGCTAAAGCCGCTGACAGCCCCACTCAGAAAGATCCTGGAGTCTGGTCTAGGACACTTATCGCTTCGCGTTCATACAGGTTGCCAAAAAGCTTGGGCCTGAAGCGGGAAGGTCCAGGACCCTCTGGTGAAAGAACTAGGCCTGCCACTCAGGGATTCGAGTCCCTGGAGTGTAGCCTGCATTTCCCACTACTGTACTCCCCTGACGGCCCAGGGAGCCAGAGTCCAGGGTAAGGATCAGGAATGCTGGGCTGGAGTTCAGGCCCTGCCCCTTAGAAATCATGTGGTCTTAGGCAAATCGCATCATCTCTTTGGTACTTGGGTTTCCTTGTCAAAGATCATATTCCTGCTTGACTCATCCCTCACGCCTGTCAAGGTGCAAATGGTGTTCGTGAAGGTGTTTAAAAGACAAACAAGGACTAAACCATCTTTATGTATTAAACCAAATTGACAACGCATAGAGGTGGAGAAAGCCAGGCTTTTGAACTACGGCCAGATGGACGGAGCCAGTCAGGAGTGCAGAGCTGTGGGAGCACCCAAATCCTGAACCTTAGGACTCAGAGCCAAGAGGACCAGTTTCACTTTTAGCGCCTACCTTACACTGGCCCCTTGACAGACCTGGGCAACTGTGGTCTGGTTTGTTCTTTGGCGAGATGACCCCAAACATCTTACCAAATGGTGTGAAACAGCCACTTCCCTAGGCACTTCCATTAGGTTAGTAACAAGATTGCAGATACAGAACCAGTGAAGCATCTGTTTGAATCAACGTCCAAATCTGGGGTGAGTCCCAGTCAACAGCTGTGAGAACACCCACTTTGTGGATGAGGTAGGATTCTGGAGGTAATATGTGGACGTGTTATGGGACATGCTTGTGTACAGAGTACCTGCTAGTATAAAATTCATGATGTAGCTGCTTTTATTTCATTTTAAATGGAGAAACAAGAAGTGCTGGTCATTTCCAATGAGCTGGGCTTTGCTGGGCCAGTTTCATAATTATTCTCCTATTCTCCTGTGGTTATCACCACATTTATGCCACCAAGTCCCTGACTTCTCATCAGCCAGGTCTTAGAACAAAAAGTGTTAGGTTGGCAACTTTCCATCAGGTGTGGGCTACACAGCTGCCTAACTAGGTAATTAGTTCAGGATCACAAAAACCACATTTGGGGCCAAGTGGTTGCAAAACCTCCCAGAGAATTTCCTGTTCTCTTTAGGACAAAACTTTGGACACTGAGCTGCTCTCCTATCTCTTCCACCAAAGCCCTTTTCCTATACTTCCAGTACGGCTGCTTTTTTGTTCTTAAATTCCTTCTTTTAGTGAAGGGGTTTTGCTGTGTTAGGCTGGAGTACAGCGGCATTTCACAGGCATGAACTCCTGGGCGATCCTCCCACCTCAGCCTCCCGAGTAGCTGGGATTACAAGTGTGCACCACCATTCCTGGCTTACAGCTGCGTTTTTAGTGTTAGGTGTATTTCTCTCAAAAAGAGATGAATTAATTTGAAATATGAACTTTTCTGCAGTAGGAAATGATCGTAACTCTCTCTAACCTGCCCCTTCAGACTCTGAAACACCAATGAAATTACTCTATGTGATCATTCACCTGAGTATTGGAAATTTTTACAGACTCTAAAATCTGGAGCAACTTTATATACTATGATTGAAATGGTTTTTTTCAGATCTGTAGGATGGAAAATGAATGTGGATGAGGCTACGACCCATCCAAACTGTGATTCTCAAGATGACTTATTCTGAGTTATTCTGGGCAACACTTATTCTGAAATTATAAATTAAAAATGGTGAGCCAATGAAAAACTGGACCAGCAGCAAAACGTATGCAAGAGCGCCACCTGCTGGGTGTGTTAGGAAAAGGACTGGGCTGGGCTTGAAAAGGCAGAAACATTAAGGTTTCTAGATTATCACTGCAAAGGATAAATGTGTTTAATGGCATCTTAAGTGAGAATCTTGTTACTGCCACCAAGCAGATGATAAGCAAACAATGTAGGCATGGAATAAGTCATTTTCTCTGGCTGTCCTTTCCCCAGGCTCCTCCTCACAGCTGAGAGCATGGATAGAATTTCACTGGGTGGCAAAATCAGGTTTCCTAGCATTAGCATACTTTTTGGGGGCTGGGGGAGCTCTCAATGGCTCTTTTAATAATTAGGATGGAATGTGTAGGTCACTGCAGGACTTACACATGCAGACAATAAAAATAAATTATTTGTATAAGGTTGATCCTGAACTCTCCCAGAATCCAACATTTGGAACATATTTCTGCTTTGCTAAAATGGAACAAAATTTATAAATCTGACCAAATGGGCTGTTTGCCAACTAATCCATCCCCTAAATAGAGCCAGAAAATGGGAGGGGGGAGGCATCATGTGTGTGCTAAAATGTAGTCCCTTCACAGGGAACGCAGGGCAGCTATGGCAGGGCATTAGAGGCCTGGGAGATGAAAAAGGCTCATTTAGGCCTGCAGGGGCTGGGGACAGAGCAAATCTGCACCTGAGTCGCCTCACTTCCTACAGTAGCAATAAAGTGGGCTGCCCTGAATGAGTGAGCTGAAGAAAAGTTTCTCTGTAAGAAGTGACAGAAACCTGGACTCACAGAAGTAGGGGAGGCATGAAGGGGATAGCATTTTTCAATTTATGTTCAACATGTTTCCTGCAGATATAGTGGAGGAATAATCCGCACATACGCCCAATCCAATCCCCCCAATTTTCTTTCTTCAACATGCTGCTTCTGTTCTTGGAAGAGTTAACTGCCTCACTTCTGCAGGAGAGTCCAAAACACTGAGAACTAGTGTGTCTTCCCCTTCCTTTCCTTCCAGAAAGGCCAGCAGCCTCAAGCAAGCCAAAGTCCTTTCCTTTTGAATGCACATTCTTGTGAATTCCACTGTCTTCACAAACTCAGCAGCTGGTGGAAGCTCTCTGAAGAGCTGAGACAGGAGGCGGCACTGCTCTGACACCATCCTTTGAAGGTGACAGAGCATCTCAGGGCTTGGGGGACGCCAGCCAGACGTGGAGAGGAGAGAGAAGAGGTGCTTGCAGAGGTATTTCACAAAGATCAGGGTCTCAGCCCAAAAGTTGACTGCTTCTTTTTCAAACAGGTAGTCTTCTTCCACCTAAATCAGATGAAAACGCTGAAAGTCAGTCTTACAGGGAATGATAACAAGCCCCAGTCCAGACCAAGCAGTGCCCTGCCAGATGCAGGCGGGGGTCCCCTCCCCCACCCGACAGAGGGCGCACTCTTGCCTGTCAACACCCATGTACACACACCACTTGCAGTCCTGAAGGTCACCTTCTATTTTCACTCACTGTATTTCTCCACCAGAGGAATTTTTTCCCCAGACTTAACATGACCTTGGATAAAGATGTGTTTGTGGTTCAAAGTCAGGATACTTTGGGGGACTGATGCTGATATGAGACTTCAACAAGGGAGTGGGCCCTAGAGCTTAAGGTGCAGCTGGAAATTGGAGAGGAGGGAGGAAAGGTCATCTCTGCAGCAGGCCAGAGAGGAAGGAATCGCCACACACAGGACACTAGGCTGTGTCCTGTTTCTATAACACTGCAATTCTCAAGGTCATTTTATCAGACTGTTTATCATGTCTCCACATTTCTCATAAACAGGGACAATGCTTTTTGAACCCTTGGCCTGCTGGGGATGCCAAGAAGGCCAGCTGAGTCAGACGCTGGTGGCGATGAACTTTGGTTCTCAGGATGCTTTTGCTGCCTGTCTTCATCCTCAGTTTCCCTATCTGTGACTGCACCCACCTTGGAGGGGACTAATAATTTTCTTCAAATAGGAAGTTCCCAGCAAAGATCCTAATTCTCTGAAAATGCTTCACTCTCAGACCTGACTGGGAAGTTCCAGGCTAACTCCAATACTAAACAAGCAGTCTCCATAATGAAACTCTGCATCCAGGGGCTTCTGAGTTCTCTCCCCTGACTAATCTGAAGTTCCAGGCTAACTCCAATACTAAACAAGCAGTCTCCATAATGAAACTCTGCATCCAGGGGCTTCTGAGTTCTCTCCCCTGACTAATCTGGAGGCTGACCATCAGCACCCCAGAAGTCAGCCTGTGAGTGTCCCTATGCCTGCAGGAGCACCCAGTGGGTGTCTTTCCTAGTGGTTCCTGCTCTAAGCATGCAGAAACCCACCTTCACCAGTGGGCTGAAGCCCAGCTGAGGCTGTAGGGGCTGCATCCAGCAGGTTTAGGATACTCCAACCCCACCTCCCACTCCCTGCCACCCTGGCATCACCTGATGCATGCTCTCCACACAGACCACGAGGTCGTCACTCTCTCCCAGCAGCCATCCCAGCATGATGGGCAGTCCAGGAGCCAGCTGGTCCCACTGCTGGAGCAGATCACACAGGACAGCCAGGGCCAGGTCCAGAGCGATGGAGGCATCCACCTGGCAGAGGGCAAACTCTGCAGAGACAGGAGAAAGGCGAGCAATGAATGTACCACACAGGGCCAACCCAGGGCAGCCTGCAGGACCCTGGAACATGAAGGGCCTCAGGTAAGATCACTGCCACCAGCACGGCAGGGAAGACGATTAATCACCTTCTGAATCCTGCGATCTATACTGCTGGAATGAGTCAGGGCTGAACCCACTGTTCCCATGCCCCCCTAACTTAGCGTGGAGAGCAGTAGTCCCACCTGCAGGACTAGAGTGTTATCTCCCCTCGGCTCCTCTGGTGTCACTGGGAGGATCAGGGAAGCTTCCCCGGGATTCGACTGGTTTGCCCTTTCCCTGGAAAGCAAATCTCCTGGGCACAAGACACATCCTAGAACAGGGCATCGGCAAGCTTTTCCTTAAAGGGCCGGAGAGTCAATATTTTAGACTTTGCAAGCCTGTACCTCCTCAACTCTGCTGAAAGCAGCCAAAGACAATTTGTAAACAGGTTGTGGCTGTGTTCCAATAAAACTTCATTTATGGACACAGAGATCTGAATTTCATGTGTCACAAAATATTATTTTGATTCTTTTCAACCAATTAAAAATGTAAAAATCATTGATAGCTCACAGGCTGTAAAAAGCAGGTGTGGGCTGCATTTGGCTCCTATTTTGTTGCTCTGTTTTGGAGTTTTTGCTTTTTGGACTCTTGTCTTCCTGGGTGCCTGGGGGGAAGGGCACTGAAAGACTGCAATGGGTGCAGAAAGAGGAAGCAGGGAGCCTTGGGGAAACCATTGCTCATTTCACCATTTGACCTTAGACAGTCCTAAGTATGGGTTTGGAGGGAGGCTCAGGGGTGTTGCCACTTCCCCTAACAACTCTGCCCCTCCCACCCCAGGCCTGGAGGACATCTGAAACACGGGCCTGAAAGCCCACTGCACAGACAATGGACTTTGGTAGGCCCATCCTGCACCAATGCCTGTCTTTCAGTGACGCACTTCTGTTGAGCCCTGATCTGTCCCAGATCCACACCTCTAACTTCAGCACACAGACTTACCCTGACCATAAGCCCCCAAAGACACTTGCTTGGCACACAGGCAGACGGCTGAGGGAATGGAACAGCAGGCTGAGTTCCCCGCCCCCAAGAGTTACCAGGATAGTCCCACTAAGGGCCTAGTGAGTGCCAGGCCCTGATCAAGGGTTTTCTCCCCAGTCTTTCCAGCATCCTATGGGTTGGGTGTAACATCACCCACTTGCATACATCAAGAAATTAGAGTTGGCAACAAGTTTCATGGTACGTGCAAAGCACAGATTTTGGGGACTGGTATCAATATTCCAGAGGTTTTGACGGTGGGATCAAGGGAGTTAGTGACCCTGCAGTAGGACCAGGACTATTCATAGGTCACACAGCAGAGCCTAGTTGCATGTAAACAGCTGAAAGAACTGATCTCACCATCTTCAGAGGCCCAGGTAAGTCCCCCAGGACACCTGGCTTTTAGTGTCCCCATTCCCCATGCCCCTTGTTCTGCAGCCTGGAACCCAGATTTAAATCAGGAAACAGAAAAGAGGAGGGGGTGAAGGTGCGTTTTGGCTGTAGGTCTGAGACATGTGTTGGCTGGGCTTCTACCTACAATACAATCTCCTTTAACCTCTACCTTACTCCTTTGTGCAGTTCTCAATTGGCTGAGAATCTGTATGGAGAGGGGATACAATTAAGTGGCCTTTTTCTTTTTTCTCCTTCAACTTTTCTTTCTTCTCCCTCTGCCCCCGACAGAGTTTCTGTCGTCCGGGCGGGAGTACAGTGGCATCGCACTGGCTCACTGCAACCTCCACCTCCACCTCCTGGGTTCAAGCAATTCTCCTGCCTCAGCCCCTAAATAGCTGGGGTTACACCCAGCTATTTAGGGGCTGAGGCAGAAGAATTTTTTGGGCACACCCAGATATTTTTTTTTAACGTGCTCGGCTAATTTTTCAATTTTTAGTAGAGACAGGGATTCATCACGTTGGCCAGGCTGGTCTCAAACTCCTGACCTCAAGTGATCTGCCTGCCCCAGCCATCCAAAGTGCTGGGATTACAGTTCTAAGCCACTGTGCCTGGCCCCTTCAACTTTTAAGTTCAGGGGTACATGTGCAGGACGTGCAGGCTTGTTACACAGGTAAGCATGTGCCATGGTGGTTTGCTGCACAGATCAATCCATCACCTAGTTATTAAGCCCAGCATTCATCAGCTACTCTTCCTGATGCTCCCTCACACCCTGCATAGGTGGCTTTTTCAAACCCCCAAACAATTAAAGACAGACATGAGGACCCGCATAGGATTCAATACAGAGCAGATGCTCAGGACATCCCTGTTTATGGCTGGAGATCATGAGATCTCTTCCATTATACCATTTGATCTAATCTGAACTCTAACATAGAGACTGGCACGAAGAAAGCATTCAATGAACAGTAACTAGTGTTACTATCGATAATGAACGCTTTGCTCCTACTGAATCCTGAAATTGCTCCTGCCATACTATAAGGGAGGTATCCCTATTTATCCAATAAGGAAACTGCATTCATAAAGGTTAGGTAACTGGTCCAAGTTTGCTGGTAGCTGTGGTGCTGGGCTAAGTCTATCTCCAGTGCACAGACTGCCCCTACCCTGCAGGGAGACAATGGAGGTGAGTAAGTCAGACTTGGTTGTATCATCCTTTTTTTTTTTTTTTTTTTTTTT